GGTTAGGAGTCTTAGCTGCAGCGCCGGGGTGGCTGCTGCCATCAAACTCGACGCCCGTGTTTCCTGGCCCATCACGATTGTCTCCATATGAAGAACGTTGACGCTTGGCCCGCTCACTGTTGACAACCGGAGTTGCGACATTGCTATGATATGGTTAATATGTATGTCTTCTGTAAGATCCTAGCGGCTTTGGCATGGACAGCCCATTTTTGGCTGGAGGAATGAACTTGTACGGTCGGAAACATTATTCATTCCTAGTTTTTAGGACCACGAACATTTTTTATTCGGAATTCGGATATATTATTAAGAAAACACCGGTACAACTAGTGTATTGTAGAGAGACATACATAGCTTGGGGGTGGTAATTTTCTTATCTCGACACAGGGTGCTGGCCGCCTCCCTGCTGCGAGTAGTTGCTTGGTACATGCTGAAAACCGCACTCCTGGGCCATAGTGCAACCCGAGGTACCGTGCCGTCTCGTTGCCGGTCAGCGCCCCAACCCCACCCCACCTAACCGATACGCAGCTTCCATAAGCCGCTTTCGCTCACGTGTAGTGCCCCCAAAAGTGAAGGACCTCGCACTTGGCAGCATTCGCGGCCATACTCGCCGATTTCAACTAGTAAGCTTACATTTCATAATACATTCTTACCGCGTATGGGACTCGAATCCACGACTACACGTCTATGAGTCTCGCGCTACATAGACTAAGCTTACCGGGCTCTAAGGAAGATTGATTATTGGAAAGTGCGGGGGGATCATAAACAACGCGCGCGCGAAGCTGATCCGGAGGATAGATAGGCTGATACGCCAGAAGTAGCGGTGTGGCAGGTGAACACCTCCCCAGCTCTCTTCCGTGCGGGTGCCTATCTGAGCGATCTGCTACCTCGCCTGATAGAGGAGGTCGTACAGAAGGTGGTGGACCCGGTGTTCCCTTCACCGCCGCCGCCGCCACCACCGCCACCATCTCAGCCAACGGGCAAGGCGGCCGCCGGAGAGCCGGAAGTAAAACTGTCGGCGGCGGAGGCGGCACCAAGGTCGCCATTGCTGGATGGCTTTGTACGAGTAGAGCTGGACGAGCAACTGGCTGCTGCCGCCGCCGCCGCCACTTACTCTCTGATGTCGGGTGGCAAGGCGGCGGGCAGGAGGGGGGGTGCCGGATCGCCGGCGGCGGCGGTGGTGGTGCTGGTGCCGGCAGTGGGGTTGAGCTTTACGGGCGGGGCGGCCATAATCCCCGAACCGCTCCCTCCAGCCCCGGGGCGCCCTTGGTTCGGGCACGCGGGCAGCAAGCTCATCAC